GAAAGCCTGGACGCTCGCCTTGAGTTTTTGTGGGCTGTAGCGAAACGCTCCCCGGGGGGGGGGGGGCGGTTTTAGGGTCTCCCAAAGCCCCTCGGCTGTCACCAAGCCCGCCGTCCGCCGGGTGCCACAGGACGCTGCTGCTGCTTCTGCTGCTGCGACATGACAACACTTGCCCACTTTTTGCTAAGAAAATCTGCAAGGCTGGAGATGTCGGGATGGGGGTCCCCGACAACGAATCCTCCTCCTCCTGAAAAGCGGTAGGGGTGGTTTGTTTGTTTGTTTTTTGTAACATCTGGAAGACAACCATATTGATTGGGGTGGAAGATTTCAGGTCCTCAGGAAGCATCTACTGAGTCAGATGACCAGCTTGGTGTGGTCTCCTGCGACTGGAAGTGCTTCTGGACAGGAGGCTCCTCTCCCCTCCTTTCCACCCCTTACCTGGAAGAAGATCGAACCTAGGAATTTTTGCATGCAAAGCATGCCCTCTGTCCTTTACACCCCACCCCTCGTTTATAAAACACGGGTAAAACCTTTACATCGGAAGCTGGCCGATCCTGAATCTTCTTGGAAAGGGATCTGGCACGTTCAGCATGCAGAGCATGTGTTCCTGTGAAGAACTTTCCTTTCCATGGTCTGGAGCTCTTGTTTGTCAGCAAATGTAGCAGTCTCGTCTATGGAAGCTTCCAAACGAAAAGGCTTGAGGCACACAAAACTGATTTTCTTTTTAACAGGGAGCTGTTTATGGCTGGACACTCCAGATCACTGGTTCTTAACCTTGGGTTACTCAGGAGTTTTGGACTGCAACTCCCAGAAGCCTTCACCACCAGCTGTCCTGACTGGGGTTTCTGGGAGTTGCAGTTCAAAAGCATCCAAGTAACAAAGTTTAAGAACCACTGCTCCAGATCACTTACCATTGAATAGCCATCCCTCCTTTCTTCCTGCAGCAGTTACTCCTTTTTCTTTCAACATTGTTCTGGCCATCAAAATAATAAAGGTGATAGCAATTTAATTGTGTTCAACATTTGTGTTAATGAATAGTAAGAAGTGGTTTGGAAAAATACTGTTCTGGAATAAAAGTTTTGGCCTGTGAGCGAGTGGGTTTCTGCAGAAGCAGCTTCTCCTGTTGCTAGTATTGCCTGCCCTTGTTTCTTACCAGTCTTGCTATGTTGCTTGTTTTTCTTGCTTTCCAGTAAAGTATTTCAACTCTTCTGCCTAGAGATTGGCCTTTCTAAATCTGATAGGCCATTCTTCCTGAAGATGACAAATAATTTCTTCTCTGTATCTTCTTCTAAAGTAGTTTTAATATGCCTCAAAGTTGGTATATTCAGATAGTTATTGGTTATTAGGGTAAGTTGTTCTACTTTTATGGCAGAGGAAGTAAGGGAGAAGTGTCTTTCTGACACCTGGCATTTTTGTGTTTGAATGAGTTTACACTAACTAGTGACCTCTGATTTTTCAAGTTGTGCTATACATTTCTAACTGTCCTGCTGCTGTTACCTGGGTTGTGTTAAGAAGCACACTTATTTTAGAGCATACCTTTAATCTGAATTTGTCTTTCTTTAGTTGATAACCGACACAGGTTAATTTTGCTTATTTGCATGGGGGCTTGGTATATCTCTGTTTAATGTTTGTTCCTTATGCATGGGGACATATGCAAAGGGAATCAATATATATTTTTATTAGCATATGTCATGCAAGTTCATATTTAAAAAAAAACTAGGAGAGCAGTTGTCAGCTCAAGTTGACAATACTGTGCTAGAGGAGCCAATGGCTTTACTCATTGTAAAACAGCTTTCTATGTACCTAGCACGTGAGTCTTGGTGCCAGCCTCTGTTGAAAGAAGTTGGGAAATTTCCTGACATCAGAATCCACGTATAGGCAATACCTTTATTAGGATCAATGGTACATTCACAAAATATTCAAGCTTTTAGATTCACTAGAACTCTTCTTCATCCTGGATGGTAAAAATATTGTGGCAGGGAGCAATGTGTGGAAGTTCAAACATTTGGCTAAGTGTTTTAAGCCATGGAGATCTGCAGTTAACTTAGTCCCAAGATGCAGAATAGGAACTTGATGAGTCAGAGGGTGATGCAGGTATTGCATGACCTTTGGCAAAGTTAACTGGGAAGAAAACACTATTTTCATTTGACTTAATTCTGATTGTATGGTTGTGGGAGAGTATTGAATCACTAAATGTGAATAAATCTAATGAGTTCATTTCTGCTTGCTTTCTAATTTTTCTCTCAAGGTTATGTTTGGTCCTTTACCAATCTGCAAGATGTTTAAAGTCCAGACAAAAATGTATACATCTTTTCATATCCATCTTCTCTTAATGTCAGATTTTTGTAATCGATTTATTTTATTTCAGTTAGTGTACTTATATGTGCACTAGGCTAGCTGAATAGCTCAGTGGTCTAGATATATGGCTGTGGAGCCAGAAGTTGAGGGTTTGATTCCTCACTGTGCCTCCTGCAAAAAGAGCCAACCTATGCAATCCTGGGTAGGCTGCACAGTCTCAGGGCACCCCCAGAAGAAAGGAATGGTAAACCACTTCTGTTTATTCTGTATCTAGAGAACTCTGGAAAGGGTTGCCATAAGTCAGAATTTACTTGACAGCATGCAGTTATTATTAGATGTGCACTGGTCATGTTATATGTATTTTTGTGAATTTTTAAATGTTTGTGAGCTACAGTTTAGAAAACTACAAATATATAAAACTGTTGTGGTTTGTATGATAATCTGGGAATTCTAAATTTGTTGAAGTTTATTTAAAATATTTTTACCCCACCTTTCTCCTTGAAAAGGACCCAAGATGAATTACAACACTGAAAGACAATATTTAAAGTTGAAAACAATGAGTATACAACAGTGGTTAACAGCATTAAAAGATAGCGTTAAAGCTAAGAAGAATAAATATACAGATTTTTTTTTAAAAAAAATGCCATTCTAAGAAATCGGAAACACAATTACTACTGAAGTTTGCATAAGCATTCATGCTGAACCATTTTTTTCAACCATTCTTATGAACCAACCACTTGTGGTTGAATTGTATGATCCATCCATGATTGAAGATGAAAAGTGGTTCTAGACATCCTCCTCCAATGAGCACACATTTTTACCATGTATATGACGAGTTATGTGAAAATATCATTCGTTCAGGTACTTTTCATTTCCAGTTGCTGGGGAACATACATTGGAGAATCCTGTTGCTTTCACATACTGCTTTAAGGTTTTCCTTAGGCATCAGCTGGTCATTGTGAAAATAGAGCATTATTTATTTATTTATTTATTTATTTATTGGACTTATATACCGCCCCATAGCGCTACAAGCACTCTCCGGGCGGTTTACAGTTTTAATTATACAGGCTACACATTGCCCCCCCAGCAAGCTGGGTACTCATTTTACCGACCTCGGAAGGATGGAAGGCTGAGTCAACCTTGAGCCGGCTACCTGGGATTTGAACCCCAGGTCGTGAGCACAGTTTTAGCTACAGTACAGCGTTTTAACCACTGCGCCACGAGGCTCGTTTTATTATGGAAGAAGGGTGTTTGGTTTGACCCAGCAGGGCTCTTGTATTCTTTATAGATAGCCATAGCATATGGCTAATTATTGATCAGTGAATGTCCTGGTGCTATGACTGCCAATTTTTTACCTAAAAGAAAACCAGGATGGAAGAGTTATAGGGAAGAAATTGAACTGTAGATACAGTGGTTGCATTTTCTCCTGCCGCCTTGATTCTGTGGGTATTATTCAGAAGTAAATACCATTGTGTTTTCTGGGATGTACTCACTGGTAAATGTGTAGAATTGCAGCCTACTAAAGAGAATAGATAAGGGACGTGGTGGCACTGCGGGTTAAACCGTAGAAGCCTCTGTGCTGCAAGGTCAGAATACCAGCAGTCGTAAGATCGAATCCACATGACGGAGTGAGCGCTCGTCACTTATCCCAGCTCCTGCTAACCTAGCAGTTCGAAAACATGTAAATGCGAGTAGATAAATAGGTACTACCTTGGTGGGAAGGTAACGGCATTCCGTGTCTAGTCGCGCTGGCCACATGACCACGGAAACTGTCTTCAGACAAACGCTGGCTCTACGGCTTGGAGACGGGGATGAGCACCGCGCCTTTATCTAAAGAGAATAGGCCTTCTAAAGAGGATAGGATCTAACAGTCCTAGTCAGTGCATAGAATCAATGTATGACACACATGTTCATTGTGTTCTAGAAAATCCTCATGTACTGAGAAAGAAGCCTCTAAAAATGATTTTGTCAATTGACTCTTACTCAACCAAATACAGTATGAGTTGCAGGGTTAATTTTAAAAGTCAGTGAATTTGAATTGAGGGGCTATGAAGGGGACCTAACTGATTCTTCCTAGAAGTTTAGTTTTTCTTTTGAAAAATAATTATGCCTTGTTCCTTCCATCCAACTCCTGTTACCTTTCTTGCCATTTTATGTTACGAGGTCAGTCCTCAAATTACAAGGGAAAAGATGTTCTCCACAAGCATGTGGTCCCTCCTTAGCTGTATTATTGGAAGGTTGTAGGAGGGCTATGATTTTATTACAAATGCATGGTAGTCAGTGCAGGGACAGGGGCATTCTGGTTTATCCTCCCGTAGTATCATTTTGCCACTGTGACTTGGTCAACTTCGTTTCTTCTGTCTTTGAAAAGTGCAAGCTCTTGTGGTTTTTTCCGCATAGTTAACTTTTGCTTCTTTTGGCAAACTTATGTCTTGCTACAGAGGTTGAAATCCAGCCATAGAGCTGGGGTAAAAATGGCTATGAAATTCTTCCTCCTCACATGAGGCCTACCATACATTTCTGCATTTCTCTATGGATCAGCTTTATGAATGCAGGTTGCAATGCTGCCTGAAGCCTATCCAGAAAATATTTGGTTGTTTCTCCATGGAGAGATTGAAGTTGTAGCGATTAGAGTGCAAGACAGGAACATGGGAAATCCAGATTATAGTTCTTGTTGAAATTTCCTAGGTATCCTTGAGCCAGTTACTGTCAGCATATCTTATAGAGTTATTCGAAGGGTAAAGTGGGAAGGAAGATTTCCCTATAAGACATGTTGATATAATTGGAGGAAAGAAAGGAGAACTATGGAACCAAAACATAAAACCAATAAATAGAAAACTGCTATTTAATTTCTTATTGCTTTATTGTTACATTTTATGCCATTTTCCTCCTATAAATAGCATTCATGATACTTTAAAATTGAATAACAGAAAACAGTTAAAATATAAACAGGCACAAACATAAAAAGTTACAAATACAGCTTAAAACACACCAATAAAAGAAAAAAAATACTTCATCCATTTGCACCTGTACCCTTAGGGCTTCCTTTTGTTGGTTATTTATCTTGGGAGAACATCACAGTTTTTACTTTGCTTGCATGATGGATGGTAAAGGCAAAGGCTGTTACATGCTGTCAAGTGCATGTCTAACTTACAGCAAGCCCAACAGAGTTGTCAGAATCTATTGGACGTTCAATCAGTGATTTATCATCCCACCCCAGTGAATTTCTATGGTTGAGTAGGGATTAGAACCCAGGCTTCCTGAGTCATATTCCAGCACTTCAGTCTCTATACCATATTGGCTTTTAAAGCTTTTAAAGCCAAAGAGGTTTTTTTGCTCAAAAATGGAAGGGTCTCTAAATATGCCATCAGTGGATGTTAGTCTGTGTGATGTCAGGTAAAGAGGACTGTATGTCACTGAAGAGTAACTATAGGAGGACAGAGCTACTGTATTATTTTCAAGCCCTACTTTTTGCACACCTAAAACCATCTGGTTGGCTGCTGTGGCTGCTTTGTAAACATGTTGAGCTAAAAGAACCTTTGCCTTGATCTGGTATGACTCTTATGGTTTCTATAGGCTCGCCTACTAATTTTGAGCATATTTTTGTGGTGAGAGCTAGGACTTTTTACCTAATACAGGATTTTACATTTTGTGACAAAATGCACAGAATACAGAGGATTGCTGCCGATTTCTCAATTGGTTGGTACTCCTATTAATGTTGAATGGAGTCTGTGCATAATACTGTAAACCCAATAAACTTTGAATAGATGAAAATTTGCATAATTCTGCATGTGGCGTGCTTATTGTAGCTATCTTTTTAAAATTATAGTGGTCAGGAGCTATTCTTTCTTAATTTTGCTTAATACTGCTTAATTACATGTATAAATAATTACAATATTTTCTACTGTTTTATTTGACCACAGGTAATTTCAATGTCTTCTCTGTGGACATGAACTCTACTGGAATGCTTGGATTCACAGCAACATCTCCACTAGCTTGCTTTCATCGGCGTAGTTGTGAGAAGATGGCAAAAACAAACATTACTAGAGACCTAATCCAAAGGCAACTTAAGGTGTGTCTTCTTTTTAAAAGGTGTCAATTGTTTTTGAAGGGGAACAAGGAAAGATGATGATATTTTAAAAGCCCATGTTGGTGTAGGTCATTACTACATTAGAAAACCCAGATTCAGCTTTACCCCATACAATCAATTCAGACATCAAGGGGAGAACGTGGTTTAATTCTGTACAATGCCAGATCTGTTTTTTTTTCCCCCCTGGGGCTTGGGACAGAATGCCCTAGGAGTGCTCTCATCTGACTGAGCTCGCCTCCATGAGTTCATTCACTTGTCCTGTTCCTCAGTGCCCATTCTCTACAGATGAACAGAGGGTATGCCCAAGGGAAGTGGAAGATGCCATTCTGTCCCATCACTCTTGTCACTGCATGCTTATTTACAGAGGGCTGCAAACAGGAAGGCGAAGAAGCAAGTAAGAGTTGGCAGTGGACATTGGCAGATGCTCACTGATGCAAGTACCTCCAATTGGTCCTGGCTAACAAGAATGTGCTTGCATACTCCTTCCACCCCTTATGTATTCAGATTCCTTCTGGTACTCCTCTCATTTCATAAACCAGCCTATTGCTGTCCAGGTGTGTTGATCTGAAGAGCACCAAGTTGAGAAAAATGGTCTTCTACTCAGCTCTGCTGTGAGGATCAAATTAGGCAAACTCAGCAAGGACAGGAAATTCACTTCAGTGTTTGGTATCTGATTCTCGTTTAGAGCAAGGCTATGGTGACCATAGTTTTCCTGATTAGTATACCATGGCAAATTACACATACGTCACCAGGGACCACAGATCTCATTCCTTTTTTTTTTAAACTTTATCACACAATTATTCAAAAGACAAATATAAATACAAATAATTTTAAAGAGAGAAATAAATAGACCAGAAGAAAGAACATCAATAATAAAATCTTCCCTAAATAGTCTCTTGTCTCCCAACCTAACCAATCATCCTTATAGATCTATCCACAGACCTCCATGGGGATCTGGAATTTGCTGCACATTTCCCCCCTTCTGCTGGGCATACACTATAAATGGAAATTGTGTCACTTCAAAGTCATTCAAATCTGAGGTAACACTGCCTGCCTCAAAGAATTGTTGTGAAGACAAAGTGGAAAGGAGGGCCTTCTTGGGCTCATTGGAGGAAAGGGTGAAATGTGAATATAACTAAGCCATGAACAAGCCAGAATTTGTAACTCAGCCACAAAGTGTGGCTTTGAATTTGATTTGTGAGTAATAAACTGCAGTTTTCTTTCTGGAAATGAATCAAGACATGGATAAGAAGCCAGAGTTCAACAGAGCATAAACTTACTGTCAAACGCCAACCTAGCCATTACTCCAAGATCTTGTAATAGTGGAATTGTGGTGTGTGTTACATTGAATCTTGATTGGAACAAATAGGATTGAGTATGTTTGCTATAAAAGGTCCCTTATGTAGTGTTTCAAAAATCATAAGATTTTTTTTGTTCTTTATAGGAGAAGGGTGCCCTCGGTTTTGAACGACACTATCATGTTACTGACCCATTCATCCAGCGCCTGGGCTTGGAGGCAGAGCTGCAGGTAATTGGAAAATGCTAGAAGATCAAAATAAGTACTTGTCTAGTGCTAACAACTGCAGATCACCTGGATTGATTGATTGATTGATTGATTGATTTATTTATTTATTTATTTATTTATTTATTTATTTATTTATTTATTTATTTATTTATTTATTTATTTATATCCCACCCATCTGATCAATTGACCACTCTGGGCGGCTAATCAGACCCTGATTCTCAAACTGTGGCCCTCCCGATGTTTTGGACTTCAGCTTTCAGAAGCCCCAACTAGCGTGTTCAGTGATGGATTCCTGGATCTGAAGTCTAAAACATCTGGAAAGCCAGACACTGCGAACCACTACTCTGAGATTTAGCACAGCTCTTCTGTAGCATGCTTTCTGTAACACAGTCACCCTGTATCACAATAGCATATTGAGGCATGGCAATTACCGAGGCTGAGCAGCCTGTTGGGGTTCATGGCAAAAATGAGATTAAAACTCACTCAGGGTCAATTTTGTAGCCTGTTCATCAGAGTAACTTAAAAGTACGGTCAGTGATCTTGAAGGTCCTCAGTTCAGAAATCTTTCTGCTTATCAGGCTGCTTTTAACAAATTATTGGTTTGCTTTGTTTTAGTCTCTAACTCTTATATCCACATATTTTTAAAGGACTAACTTACAGGATTGCTTTAAGGATAACAGCACTTGCAGTGTTGAAATTAAAGTTTCAGATCAGATACCTTTTCTGAACAAGGCTTTAAAAAAATACAGTATATTTGTTTTCAATGGGAATAGGATTGGGAGTAGGGGGATGGGAGGCAGGGATAATAGATATGGACGGGGGAAAGGTAAAATTCCAGAGAGTGAGAGAGTACTTTTATATCCACTTATAAATTATGCTAAAAGAGGAAGATAACAAAAAAATTAAAATTAAAAAAACTTAACAAGTTTTACCAGAAGTGCTACAGTTACTAATCTCTCCGTTTTCTAATTGGACCTTCACATTCTACTTTTATCTATGTTTTCCAATCCATATTTTGAGTCCAGCTTTTGAATTCCAGTTTTTGAGTCCTTTTTGAGATTACCTTTCATTTACTGCTTCTGTTAGTACAGTGGTGCCTCGCTTGACGACAATAATCTGTTCCAGCAAAATCTGTAAAATGAAATCGTCAACAAGCGAAAGTAAAAAACCCATTGAAATGCATCGAAAACCGGTTCAATGCGTTCCAATGGGGGAAATACCTCATCGTGCAGCGAAGATCCTCCATAGGGCAGCCATTTTCCGGTGCCTGTTAAGCAAGGAATCCGTCCTAAACACAGCGGGGAGCCATTTTGCAGAGCGAGCGGCCATATTGAGAGCCGTCGATCAGCTGTTTTAAAATTGTCGTTTAGTGAAGAATCGATTCCCGAAGCAAGGAACCGATCGCCGTGAAGCAAATTTTCCCCATTTAAATATCATACATTCTTCTAATTATTTTATCATTTGTCCCTAGCATTTACCCAACGTTGTTTGTCCTTCATAAAAACCCATTGTTTTATCTCGAGTCTAACTGTAATCTCATCCACCAATCTAGAAAGACTTTCTGTTCTTCTAGCTCCTTTCTAGTCTTTAACACCCCGTCTTTCTTAAGCAAGTCTCTATACCTCAGAAATTTTGTCCATTAAGGTTGCCTGTATAAATGCTTCTAATGGCGACACTGATCCTGGAATTTTATGATACATTTGCTTTTCTGAACAAGGCTTTTATGAAATTGTGTTTATCATATCTTAAGACAACAAGTAGAAGACAGTCAAAATTATATGATGCTTTCTTAAGGCAGAACCAAATGAACTGTGTGACTTTAATTTCTAAAGGATTTCCTACTACAACAAAGCTTCTCATCATATTTCTGTCTGATGCTTTTTCTTCCAATATTAATTATTACTTTACAAACTGAAAATATAACATGGCTATGTCATTCTGTTATCCTCCTCTTCCCCCAAGACTGATGGACAATTTTTATTCTAGCTAAAGATTTGATAAACAAAAGCATCGTTCTTTACAGATAAAGGCTTAAATTTGATTGCCCATCTCAGTTAGTGTAAAGCCATTTAATCACCTGCTGAATGCTAAGTCACCTATGTAAATCATATGTGGAAATTGCCACATTCAGGCTGGTCCTTAATAATGGCCAAATTTGGATGTATCAGCACGAAAGTACAGTCCATTTTGGATTATGCAGAGACCCTATAACAGGGATGATTTTGATTTTAAAGGCATATAAACATATCAGTGCAAATAGGATATTCTCGTTGAGTCCTAAGTATATTTTCTCTCTGTAACAATCTCTTTCCCACCTCCATTGTTCTGGATGGGGGCTGTAAGACTCCTCCCACCTATCTCTAATGGGCATTCAATTATCCCTCATCTTATTGGGACTCAGATGTCATTGTACTGATACATGCATCTGTTGCTGTTGTTTATAGTTTGCATGATTGATGGTGTCTAAGGTTTGGTTTTATTTTTTAATTACTTCAGTGGGAACCCCCCCCCCCAAGATATAATATATCTAATTCCTTCATTGAGGGAAAGGTTCTCTGGATTGTGGCTGGAGATGACAGAGTTGAAATCTCCCCAGATTGTATGTTACAGATATGATGAAATCTGTTACAGATATGATGAAATCTGCTTCCTCTCTGCTTAGCCTTTTTAAAATACATAGTTTCAACGTCTAAATTGTTGTAGAATTTGTCACTTCCCTATATGCCTGTTGATTTGCAATTTGTATTATTATTA